ATCTACGTGTCAAGCCGTCATATGGAAACCTGTGAAATTTAGTAAGGTCACGAAATAACACCAGCCGAAGTTTGGGCGAAAGTATGCGATCCCCGCCATTGGCGAAGTGCGCCAGGGAGGCCTTCGAAATGTCCTTCCTCCGAGGTTATTAGCGCCGAAAGCTGTACTATTACTACCGTTTCAGGTATGCGAAGATACTTTACAGTTGATCCTCGAATGTAAACCTCTGGCATTTTGAAGAATTTATCACCATCCTGAAAATAACATAATCGCTTCAAAAGCCACAATCAAATATGGAAGTGTAGCTCAGTTTAGTTTCGGAGGTGAACAGTAACAGCAATAAAGAGCTTTAGAAAAAGAGCAGTGTTATAAAGTTCGTGCAGATGATGGAGCTAACTGCACACTTAAGGTACCGCAGGTGGAGAGGGCGTGGTTGCACTTTTTGAACACTACGTTAGAGGCGTTCTTCGTTCGGTACAACTGTAGTCCTGTTTTGCGCTGGACAATGGCCTAATTATAAGTTCCAAAGCGGAGAGGTGCCAACAGAACCGTTCAAATGAAGTACGCAGCCAGGCCTCCTCCTTCTACGAGATATGGGGCGTAGAAAGGCCGGAAAAAACCAGGTCTGTGCTCATAGATTCGAAAATTACTGCCCTCAAGTCACCCCACCAAACGCGCAACTTCACAAGGTTACCCCAGAAATGAATTGAGTTTTATTGAAAAGAAATAATATGTGAGCGCTTCATTCCCAAGATCCAATACATTAGCCTGTGCATTATCGCAGAAGATACAGGACTCACCTTTGAGGTAAAAATCACATCCCTTAAGTGAATATTCATCCAAGAGTCACAAGATTGCAAATGACCGTTGTATGTTTCTCCATTCTTCAGTTCGATTAGCATTGGATGATTTTGAGCAGTACGAAGCAACGAAAGTGGGAGCTAAATATATGAATGCAAAAAATCAAAATTAATGATGAGCTATAAAAGTATGACTCCTATGCTGTGAAAGTAAATACAGGCGTATTTTAACATAAACGTACCACCATTGTCAATCGAGTAAACTTCGGAAGTGGTAAACGTAGTTTTCACGAAATATCGACGCGATAGCCGTTCAACCAGTCACCAGCACATGGTTTTTGGTTGAAGCTGGAGCGATGTGATGTTTTAATTCGAAACTGAAGGTATGCCAGCCGCGCCGTGTCATAGTGTTGTTGGTGCTTCCCTCGTCTCCATACGTACCACACACCAACGACTTACGCCTGAGTTGATAGCTAAGGACCATGTGTACTGAGGCGGTGCGAATCGTGTATTGGCCGACCCTTGTCAGTACTCCTAACAATCTGTCGATAAGATTTCAGACCACCATAGCTCATGATCACTCTTGAATTCACTCGCTTAATTAGAGATTCTTCTAGAATACGTTGTAGGGAAGTCAGACAGGTCGTTGAAGATATACAGGGGGGGGGGGGGGGCAAAAAAAAGACTTTTTTCTTCCTCGACTTTCGAGGCGCTATAAGTTACACTTTATTAAATATTATCGGACATTTCTACCACCATATTAAAGAGCATATTAAATACTATCATGATACTCCGCCACAGCCTTCTGAGGAGCGCCATCGAGAGATTCTGCCACGCGACCCGTGAGTGGGGCCCCTGAGTCCAGCGAGGATTCGGTTGATCTTCTCCACCACTGCTTTGAGGCGCCACGCCTATTGAACCGCCGAACCAGGTGATGAGGGGGGGGGGTGGTCAGGTCAGAGACCTGCTTAGATATTCCACCTTCTTCAGGTACTCAACGCCCTATCCCCTTGCCAAAACACGCTAAGAATTTTGCCCAACACCCTTTGATTCCACTGTGCGTGCCTTCACCCAGTGCATAGCAGTACAAAGTTTCCAAGAAGGTACGGGCGACGACATGTGGAGAGGATATTCTTCTCGAGTTGCTCGATGTAACCGCCAGCGCTCACCTTTAGTCCGGGGCCCACGAAGAAAATATCGGTCTTCTCCACTCCAGGTACGTCCGGTCACCAGCATCAACTACCGCCCTTAGAGCGACTGAGTGAGATATGTCCTAGACCCGTGGCGCGTTGTCGGAGCTGCTCCGATGTTGCGAGGTTCATCCAGATTCGAAGTACTGCTTCCAGTAGCTACTCCATCCGGTGACTCCATACAGGTGACATGAATTCTAAAGGTCTTCTCCAGTCAGGTTGCGGCTGGAGATGACTTCATATTTTGGTGTACATGAAGGTGATGGGCGAGCGCCAGCTCCTGCTTATAGAGGAACATCTTGGGTATCTTTCGCCCTGGTACTCGTATCCACGTCCTCTGTCTGGGCTGCGAAAACTTTGCTGATATGTGACTCGGTCGAAATGTCTTTTTTTGCCCCCCCCCCTAGTGAGTGTCGGCGTTATGGAAAGGGTGAGGAGCTACCTCACTAACAGCGAGCGTAACATGGCGTTTTTTGTGGCAATGCGTCATTTTAGACATGCTGCCCAACGCGGACTTCCAGAATTTGAATGTGTGGTGTTATCACTTCACTGCCAGTCACAGCATCGATCTTGGGAAATCGCTCGTAGCGTCGGTCATCTCTGACTCTTCAACCACACCTATGTTTGACCAGCGATGACGAGGGTTATGTATAGTCTTGGTTTCGCGCGGGTGCTGCCGGGACGTGCTTGAAGCTTCTAGTTATTGGGATTGGCGCCAGACGTCCGCAGCGCTTTGTATATTTGCTAGAAGGAAGAGAGGAAAAGACATAAGTATAAGAGAATCGGAACGAGAATGCCCAGCCATCGCCGAGACGCCCCTTTCTGTCCTCCGATATGGTTCATAATTCAGGACAGATATAATTTTTATGCATGAAATCTATACGCGCTGTGAACGCAGAGGTTTCCTGGTTATTCGTAGGGCGTGTCTACGTACTTCACTTGAACGAAGTGGCGACTCTAGAGGGACTATTGGATTATTAAGGCAAATGTAAGCATGCCTTTGTCCAGCAAAAGGCAAGATGAGAGTTGCCACAAATAAAAATATCCCACGAAGAATACACACTCCGTCGTGTACTCGGCCACGCCTACCCCAGTTCCGAGGAGTGGTTTATGCAGTTAAAAAGCAGGACAAGTTTTCTGGCTCTTAAGCAAGGCCGGCGATATCGGCTGCTTCACAGGATTGTTTGTTTGAAATAGCTGTTCAGCTAATCAGTTTTCATTCGATGTTTGCTATCACATTCCACGGTATAAAAGATGATGGCAGAAGTGGATCGGTCATTTTCTACTTTCTAGTCAAGAAGAAGCGTTCAGCCATGCCCACCATGCCCACGAAGAAGATGTGAGGAAGCTGTTATCAATGTACAGGTTGTTGGCAGCATAGACTGGGGCGTGTCAGAAGGCGGATTTGGCGCGGCGCGGCTCAGTTTTTCACCAGTTGTGATTGCTTGCCAGCTCCCACAGCTGGTGGAAAACGAGCTGGCACCGCGCCAGATCCATCTCTCCTGACACGCCATAGCGAACAAGGCTGTACAGCCTACCTGTCTAGTCTAGATGGCCGTGATCACATGTATTAGAAGAGTCCAACCCTACCCCGTTTCCATCTTAAAGCCATTGTGTTCACTGCTTTTTGGGGTTTCGCCCCACTTGGTGATACCGGCTGACAAGGGTAAGGAAGGCCCATTTCCTGCTAGATACATCCCTCACACGCCTTATTCGAAATCACCAACCACTTTCTCGGTAAGAGAGAGCAGGGACGCAGAAAGTGGGCGGGGCTTGATTTAGCTGTGGACTACCCAGCTACCCTAACGCGAAAATGTTACTTATTACTTGCAATATTAGAGCGGAGAACAGTCGTCAGCTGTCAACTGAGCTTAATTCGATTTCAGATTGGGTGGGAAAGTGGAGAAGTTATTCCAAGGAATCTCCAATGTATGGGGACAGTAAGTGCAATTGCGTTTCGTTCACTTTCATTCCAACAACGACACAGAAGGGATTTCGGCTCAAAGCTGTTGGAACACTCCCTGCTCCTTGACCAGTATACCTGTGAGCGAAATAGATCGCTTACACGCTGCCGTTGCGAAGTTTGAACGCTGCCTTATTGATTATGCGCGCGTGCGATCGATGCTCTTCGTATTGTATGAGCTAACAGGCTTTTTGGAATGTAGAAATGAGTTTGAGAAGGTCAGCTCA